TCTCCACCTTATCGTGGTGAGGGAGTTTGAGTACGCCAAGGACCCCGAGAGCTATACCAGCGGTAGCGTAGCTACTGGCAGGGCCTCCCTTGCTGGACAGGTCAAAGGGTAGGCATCAGACGAAGAGAGACACCAAAAACTGATGCCGGAAGCAGCGTCATCAGTAGCGACTTGAAGCACAGAGCAAATGATGCTCGAGATGGTTCAAGTTCGTATAGCAGCAGGCGTGACCAGAGTGGTTTGAACGGCTGCTGTACTGCGATGTGGAAAGCAAATGGAAAAACTACCACATTATCACTTTTCCTGGATAGTCTCTTTCCAAAAACAGAGATACCATATATGCGAGATGTTTCCTCTGGAGGCAAAACAATCCGGAGGTAAACTACTCCCCCAATCGGATCTCCGGGGGGGAGTGTTTCTAGAGGAAATGTCATGCAGGCGTTACAACAAGAATAAGTGCGAAGATCAGAAGAAACAGCATGGATACAAGATTGGAACATGGAATGTCAGGACCTTGAATCAAGCAGGAAAATTGGAGAATTTGAAAACGGAAATGCAGAAGAATGAAGTGTCTGTGCTAGGTGTCAGCGAAGTGCGGTGGAAAGGACAAGGTGAAATAAGAAGCGGTGATTATACAGTGTATTATTCCGGAGGTGAACGGGCTGAAAGAGGTGTGGCAATAGTGGTGCATAAAAGTGTAGTGAGGAGTGTTGTTAAGAAGATTGCTTGTAATGACAGAATTATTGCTCTGAAGTTAAAGGCGGAACCGGTAGATATACTGATTATACAAGTGTACATGCCAACATCAGAGTATGAAGATGATGAAGTGGAAAAAGTGTATGACACAATTGAAGAAATTCTTCAGGAAGATGGAAGAGGAGACACAAACAGCATCATATTGGGAGACTGGAACAGCATTGTTGGAGATGAACCATATCAGAATATTGTTGGATCACATGGACTAGGAAGACGGAATCACAGAGGTCAAATGCTTATTGACTTTTGTGAACGAAATGGATTGATTGTTACCAACACTTGGTTCAAGAAGCCAAAGAGAAGAATTTACACATGGAAGGCACCTGGGGATTGGAAGAGGCATCAGCTGGACTACATCCTTGTGAAACATCGATTCAGAAACAGTGTGAAGGATGTGAAGACGCTTCCTGGGGCAGACATTGACTCTGACCACAACTTGCTGGTTGCCAAGTTCCGAACCAGGTTGAAGAAAATTATAGGATTTCGAAAGCGCAGACCCAGATGGGATTTGGAGAAGTTATATGCTCAAAGACAAAGCGTGCAAGAGACTCTAGAAGAGAAACTCGGTGCAATTGAAGGTGAAAGCGGAAATGCTGAAGCGCAGTGGAACGATATAAAAGAATGCATGTTAGATACTATCAGTGATTTGGTAGGTAAAGTTGAGAAGATAGCAAGAAAACCATGGGTTACACAGGAGATGATGAGTAAAATGGAGGAGCGAAGGAAATGGAAGAATGTCAACAATGAAGAAGGCAGGAGGAAATACAGGAGACTGAGGAATGAATTGAAAAGAGCCACGGACAGGGCCAAAAAGGAATATCTTGAGAAGATATGTAATGAGATTATGGAATTTCAAAGAACAGGCCGTTATGATTTGATGTACATGAAGACAAAAGAACTAGGATGGAAAGAGAATCATGGGATTCAAAATGTTGGCATCGAAGACTCCCAGGGGAATAGAATAGTAGATCAGAGGCAAGTGCTGAAAATTTGGGAAAATTATATTTCAGAACTATATGATCGACCTAATCGGCCAGAAACCTTAGAAGTTGAACCGGAAGAAGAAGTAGATACAGACGAGAAAGGACCATATATTTTACAAAGTGAGGTGGAAAAAGCTATCAAGGAAATGAGGAAGGGAAAGGCTACAGGAGATGATGATGTACCTGGAGATGTGCTCAAGTTACTGGGAGAAGGTGGTTTGAAAACACTGACAAAACTAATGAACACCATATATGAAAGTGGAGAGTGGCCCAAGGACTTTACAGAAGTTACAATGATTGCCTTAAAGAAAAAGACAAAAGCTACAAAATGCAGCGACCATCGCACAATAAGTCTTATTGCACATACAGCAAAGATAATAGCAAAGATACTTAAAAGAAGAATTGAAAGGAAAATAGAGGATGTACTTGGAGAAGATCAGTTTGGATTTAGAAGAGGAAAAGGAACCAGGGATGCAATTGGGATGATGAGAATTATAGCGGAACGAACTTTGGAGATAGATGAAGAACTGTGTGTTTGCTTCATAGACTGGCAGAAGGCATTTGACCGGGTAAACTGGACCAAATTAATGCAGATCCTGAAAGAAACAGGTATCGATTGGCATGAAAGAAGATTGATTAGCAAATTGTACATGGATCAGAAAGTTAGAGTACGACTGGACAGGGGGGAGACAGGAAGTGTGCAGATTGGAAGAGGAGTTCGACAAGGATGCTGTTTATCACCAATTCTGTTCAACTTGTACAGCGAATGCCTTACCAAGGAAGCTCTGGATGGGCTCGGTGACTTCAAAGTAGGAGGGCAAATTATTCAAACTGTGAAATATGCAGATGACCTTGTGTTAATGGCTAAGGAAGAAACTGTGCTACAGGGCATGATTGATAGACTAATTGAAATTGGAAGGTGCTATGGCATGGAAATGAATGTGGAGAAAACAAAAGTAATGAAAATTTCGAGACAACCAACCCCAGTCACAATAAAGATAGACCAAAAACAAGTGGAGAATGTGAAATGTTTTAAATATTTGGGTAGCTTGTTAACAGATGATGGAAGGTGTACTAGTGAAATTAAATCCAGGATTGCCATGGCAAAAGCTGCATTTAGCAAGAAGAAGAATCTTTTTACCAGCAAATTGGACTTAAATTTGAGGAAGAAACTAGTGAAATGCTACATTTGGAGCATAGCTCTGTATGGGGCTGAAACATGGACACTTAGGGCAGTAGATCAGAAACATATGGAAAGTTTTGAAATGTGGTGTTGGAGAAGGATGGAGAAGATCAGTTGGACCAATTATGTGAGAAATGAAGATGTGTTAACTAGAGTCAGTGAGCAGAGGAATATCCTACATGAAATAAGAAAATGGAAGGCTAATTGGATTAGTCATGTTTTACCCAGAAACTGCCTTCTAAAAGAAGTTATCAAAGGAAAGATAGATGGGCGGATAAAGTGACAAGAAGACGAGGAAGAAGACGTAAGAAGATGCTGGATGATCTTGGGGACAGAAGAGGATACTGTCATTTGAAGGAGAAAGCTCTAGATCGCATTAAGTGGAGGAATTGTTTTGGAAGAGACTGTGGACCTGTCGTCTTGACAGATTACTGATGATGATGATTCAGAAAATGTCATTGATACAGTCAGACCTGGACTCAGTACTTACTTAGAAACCTCAGTCAAAATCCACAAACTGTTCAGCTGCACTATTTTTGTAGAATGAATACTCACAAAATTAATATTTACTGTTTAAAGTCCATACTTTTCAAATAAGCTCATACAGCCTATGTGCATCACGACTGTTACTATTGGTATTAGGTTGCCCAAGAAATAACAAATTTTCTGATATTCTCATAATACAATGACTAATGACACTTTTCTACAAAACTGTCTGGAAATTAATTTAGGTGCAAATAGTATGAAGCACAAACTTCGAGCAGACTGATTTTATTTAGTTTTGCACCATCTTTGTACATCTGTGTAACGATGGTCAGCATAGATTCAGTAACATATTGTCATGTGTATGACTACAGTGGGGTTTGGATTGGTAAAGGATTTGACACAGTGTGTAACTACAAATAACTTACAGTGGGGTTTGGATTCGTAAAGGATTTGACAGTGTGTAACTACAAATAACTTACAGTGGGGTTTGGATTGGTAAAGGATTTGACACAGTGTGTAACTACAAATAACTATGTCTCACTAACTTACACACCCCAACTACAGCACACATAAAGTCTTCTCAGTCTGACTCATTCCTAGAATGTTCACTGCTTCCATGCTCATGTTCTTACCGGCTGGTGACTGTCTTGCAACTAACGCATCATCAAAGTCAAAGTCACACTGCGACTGACGGTCAGTCAGTAAGTCTTGGTGTCAAACGTCATCTGGGGCTCATGACCAGATATTTATTACCGTTTTGACAGTTACGGTCTTGTTTTTGTGGGGCACCCTCTCTGACAAAAGAATGGGCCTGTCTTTTGTATATGCTACTGGCACTTGCCAGCACGGTCTTTATTGGGTCCGAGTCCCTTGGGACTCGCGATCATATTTTACTGTCTCAGATTTGAGATTTCCTTTACGTCCCCTCCTATGATTCACAGGGTCATGGTGGAAGTATTCGACACTGCCTCGACAGTTTTAATTCATCAAAGTCAAAGTGACAATGCGACTGATGGTCAGTCAGTGAATCTTGGTGTCGAGCCCAACCTGGGGCTCATGATCAAGTATGTCTGATCTGCAAATGATTTAAACCTCCGTGAGTGTTTCCACGTTTCAGCTGCATCACACTGATATTTTGTAGGAAATAAATATGCCAAGTAAATTTTCTAATCAAACGATATATTTTGTACACATACGCCTTTGAGTAAGTCTGCTCCGCATTTGAGTTAAACCTTAGAGAATGTTTCCTTGCTTTTCCGGTAATTTCTACAACCGACAAATTATAAAGTGAACGTCCAAAAATACCAAATGATATATCTTGTACACATACGCCATTGGGTTAGCCTGCTCCGCATTTGAGTTAGAGCTTAGAGAATGTTCCCTTGTCTTTCTGGTAATTTCTACAACCGACAAATTAAAAAATTATCGTCCAAAAATCATCATAGGTATAAGCGTCACATTAAAAAACAGGAATAAACATCACATTACAATAAAACACACTCGTACGTAAATCACAATTTAACTTAATGTTCAAATTCAAAGCAAAGTCATTCGAACATTTCTCCTAGTTATGCAATTTTCAGACAACTCACCCAAAAAAAGGATCATCCTCAAAATCACCCAGCAATGCGCCAAACATAGACATTATTCTTCTGAATACTAATTTTCACTATGTTCAGAATAATACTGCAAATTACAGTAGAAATCAACACCGTGAAACGTGTTACCTCCTTTGCGTCAACACCTAATACCTAGAAACTTCGCTCTTTCCCACACAACTCAATAACGCAAAATGGCGGATTCTCTCTAGGAAATTTCCAGCGTTGCCGTTTATGCTGTTTCGTATACACGTTGCCACATCTGAAAACATGGCCCACTTCGTGTGGCTTAGCAGTGATACCTGTAACACCATTCTGTTCTGTGCCTGTGCTGTAGTTAAGGAGACGTTAGTTAGAAATCCCTGACATAGGCGACGGTAGGTGACACACCTATATATCACATATATATGGCCTATATACGAGTTGTAGTGTTTGCGGGTTTAGTATTTATTTAACGGAGTATGCGAAGGTATAATATTAAATGCTGAGATTTATGCTTTGAAAGTAGAAAAGAATGCCAATACAATTTGAGTAGTTGTAAGTTGCTGGAATAATGATTTTGTACTTCACTCATATTTGTTTCACAAGTCTGAAATAAGCGAAACAAGTCAACATCGTGTCGGCTAAACCAAAATTCAGGCTAAGAATACCATTTGTTACTACCTTTGTAGTAAGTAAGAAGCGTAAGAAATACATGCGTAAGCCTAACTTCAGCAACGGGTATATTTACTGTAGCATTTTTGTAGCAGGATCGTACCAGTCGTGCGAAGGTGTTGTAATCCGCAGTGAAGGAGTTCTGGTACTTAAAAAAATCACCGCAAATTTGGGGATTTGACATAGGTAATGCAGTGATTAATATGCTGTTGTATATGAGAGTACATTGTAGGCACTTATTTTAATATTACATAAATTAGAATTAGTTGGACTGTTTTAAACATATATTTTAATATTGCATAATTTACACAAAATACTAAGCGACTCATTTTCCTGGAAAGGGTCTTGCACATTATAGTTATGTACAGGAACTTATACTTGAAGTACTCTCATTCATTTGTTAAAGGTGCCTGCTTGGAGTGCAATGGAAAACAAAGTAAATGATGTGCGGAGGGACAATACTACAGGGAATGACAAGCCAAAGGCGACGAAACTGTCTTCCTATGTCTTGGCTTTGCGACCATGGTCCCTCAGTGCATCACTCATGCCAACATTATTAGGCTCTGCCATTGCTTACAAATGTAATAATAATATAAGTGACTTCAGCTGGCTTATATTTCTGTGTACTTTATTCACTGCTGTATGTGTGCATGGTGCTGGAAACATAGTGAATACTTACTATGACTATGTAAAAGGAATAGATGGTAGAAAAAGTGATGATCGTACACTTGTGGACCACATTCTTTCCAAAGATGAAGTTGTAACACTTGGTGGCATGTTGTATGCTGCTGGCTGTGTAGGTTTCATATTTTTATTACTTATATCACCAGCCAAGTTTGAGCACCTAGTCATGGTGTATTTTGGTGGGTTGTCCAGCTCTTTTCTGTACACAGGTGGGATTGGACTGAAGTATATTGCACTAGGTGATGTATTGGTATTGATTATATTTGGACCAATATCGGTTCTTTTTGCTTTCATGTCTCAGACAGGACATATTGAATGGGCAACTATTTACTATGCCATTCCTCTAGCACTGAACACAGAGGCCATTTTGCATAGTAACAACACACGAGACATGGAGAGTGATTGTCAGGTAGGCATTGTTACACTGGCTATCCTCATTGGCCACACAGCATCACATATCCTGTATGCATTCCTCCTCTTTACACCATATATCTTTTTTGTTGGCCTTGGTGTTCGTCACACCCTTTGGTTTTTCCTTCCCCTTATCACTTTGCCTGCGGCCTTCCGCATTGAAAAGCAGTTTCGATGCTTGGATACAATTCAGGAAGTACCAAAGCAAACAGCAAAACTGAATTTGTACTTTGGCTTTCTCTATGTTCTTGCCTGCAGCCTTGCAGATACAGAACAGCTTCCATTTATTCATTGAAGTGCTAAATAAAACTGTACTGAAACTCGTGATATTTTTATTTATCCAGAAGGATAAATGTTTTAATGCAGCTTAGTATTAATGACCAACAAGGCCAGCACAAAGATTTGAAATGCACTCAGATGCATGAAATCAGTTAAAATTATATGCAGTACAGTATGTACTATTGCCCTCAACAATTCATGACAATAACAATCCTGCATCTGTTACATGCACAGTTGGGGCCATGTACTTGTAATGAGTTATGTTCTATTGAACAAGTAGAGTAAAACAAAGTAACTGTGCGTGTTGAACTATTCATGATGGTTGAAGTCAGTCACAGTTATCTTGGATAACATGTATGATATGTTAGGTCTACTTGTAAAATATTTTTTTGGACAAAAAACAGAAGTGGATCTTATGAATAGGTTATATACAGAAAATCTGCATTTAAGCCTACATGTGAATGTGACTGTTTTCTAAGAAGCATGTTATCTGTTTAGAATCACTGATTTATGTTTGTGTTGCATTTATTTTCCCTTATTTCCTGTAGATTATACATTTACATACACTATAGTATGTTTATAAGAATTGTTCATTAAATTGATGCAGACTGCTGCCAGGTCTTGACATTGTTAAGTGGGTCTTGCCTCATTTTTGAACAGGTTTACCATTCGGTGACTGTGGTATGTTTGGTATATATCCACTTTAATGTCACACTTCATAACCCAATCATCATGCATGCAAAAAAAAAAAGACATGTTCTCCGAGACACTATTTTATCCTCATAGTCTAAACCCAAAAGTGACCTTTACTACAGAAACCATATAAATAATTTCTGTATCAGGAATCTTGATAAATAGTAAGAGTGCAGAAATCAAATTGTAACCATCTTAATACATTACCTAGGGCATTACCCAGCCAAAACCCCTGTTCCCTATTAGTTTATCCATATTTGCAGCTGCCAAAATGTCAGAAATAATATGTGTGCAAGACTAAGGAGGCAGATGAGCTGCTGATTGTAGACAACAGATATTTCATCCAAAAATGAGTTTCCCAGGAATAGTTTGATGAAGACAGAGAAAACTAGAGGCTGCTTGTCAAGAAGATTATGTCAGACTCTATGATGGGAAAGTGAATGCTAAGCTGAATTGTTACTTGTTTCTGATTCAAACGCACTTAAGTGTCATTTGTATCAAGAGCTACAGTATGTTCTCATAGTAGATGTGTTCTGTTGAATCTGAATACATGTGAAAATGTATTTAGTCTTTATTGATATTCCAAATGAACTGTTTTCATTTAAAGGAAGCTTCTTAGTTCAGTATGAGCCCTTAATATGAAGCTCTGTCAAAATTTATCACCCACAATGCTCTGGTATGTTCATCTGGTTGTACAAATGAATAAAAAGGTAAAGTTATCCCTGTGCTTAAAAGCAGTTCCCACCGCAGCAGCCCGGGTTCGATCCCAGGTCTGGTCAAGTGTGATATGTGGTGGACAAAGTGGCGCTGGGGCGTTTTCTCTGAGTACTTCAGTTTCGCCTGCCAATATTCATTCCACCAAATTCTCCATCATAATCACCCAGGGCAGGCTACAGTAGGCCAATCAGTGGCCGCCATGCTGAGTGGACCCAGTTGGACTCCACCCTCCACTAAGCAAATTAAAGAAACTGGCATGAAGACGTATGGGGGAGCAGATGTATAGATCCACGTTTTCTTGAACTCTGCACTAGTTGAAGGTGAGTGGTCAGCTTCATGCTTGACTAGAAGGCCATAATTCCTGCAAAACATGCCAGAGTGTAGAGTATATGGGAAGATTGAGGATTAGCATATTTATATCAGCATGGCCACAGGATTTCAAGGTTTATTGGTTAGCCAACTTCTAGGTATCACTGATGTTTAACATTATTTTGACAGTAGATATTTTTGCTCAAATTGAGGTTTAGTAAAAAATTAGATAACTGGAATATAAGGCATGTGTTCACATGATTGAATGACTTCAGTTTCTGAATGCCAGCCTTAAACATTTTCCACAAACCACCAACCCTGCAGTAATTGACATCAATGAATATACAAGTAATAATACAAAAGCAAAAACCGACCAAAAATTTAGATGTGAACTCAAATTTTTAGAGGCCACTAACTGATCTGATTACAGTCCTGTCAGGTGTGGAAATCTCAATTGTTCTGAAAAGGGCACATAAGTAATCTTCATCAGCAGAACTTGAAAGCCTGGCAGTTGGTGACTGTTAATGTAATGTTTTATGAGCCAGAATGAAACTTTTACTTGCTTTGGCAAATGGGTTCTTGAACATTTTCTGGGCCTTGCTAATAAGACTGATTTATAGCAGAAAGTTTACACACTGCTGACATTTAAAATGTGGCAGTTGGTGGTTATTGATAGAAAAAGTGCTTACATAGTCGGCAGATATAATCATAAAAAAAAGAGGACACATGAAATGAGCAGTAGGATGTACCTATCTTAGAAAGAAAGCCATGGTTTCAAGTTTTACAAGTTGGAAACTCTCACCTTTAGCAGTTATGGTCAGAAGTGGAAGTAGATTATTGATGGGGACTCATATTTGCTCTGTTCTGATATAACTTGCATAAGTGAGAGACCTAAACTGCGAACATTTCTAATGGTTCTCTGCAGGCAAGCAGACTTGCCTACTGTGCTGACTCATATGTATTTGTAGGTCTTAATTGCACAAGGAAAATGGATTGCTGTGTCCAATGGTCAGATAAGCCAATTGAATGGAACAAAGGTCTTTACTTGCTGTTATGAGAAGGTGTGAGAGATTATGTGATGAGTGTTCAGTTGTGCTTTGTTTCTGTGAACTGCAGACTAATGCTTATAAATGTGCCAAACATAATAGGATTACCTTGGCCCAGTGAGTTCACAAAAAATGAATATTACAAAACTTTAAACTGCAGATGAAATTAACAGTTCCGTAAACTTGTAAAAGTATGAGGTAGCTATATTCAGAATTACTAGGTTTTTGGACCTAGTCCATGGTCTGGTATTCTAGAGACTAGAAAACACAATGTTTTGGAAACTGGATCTGTTTTCATCCTCAGGTGAGGTGGGGGAGAACATGTAGTGCCTGCCACTGGCACCATCTGTGGAGTAAAACCTGTACACTCAAGACTAACACTTATGGAAACCCATTGAGAATTTGTCATGTCACATAGATCTTGTTTGTGAGTTGGAAATCTCATTGCAGATGGGAAAAATGTCCAGACTGGGTTGGCTGATTGGAATACATATGGGCACATTCCCTGTATTTCTTATACTGGCTGTTACTTTCAATTTCAAAAATCATAGCTTCATCCCAGCTTACGCTATGAGCCTCTTCATAGGCATATTGGGCTAATTTTGATTTTTCTAGAAAACCTTTGAGATTGTGCCTGTGTTCATGGAGCTGCATGGCTAGAGGCCTGCCTGTATCACCAATGTAGCTTCTGTCACATTCACAGGGAATACTATAGATGCAATGTGCCGTTTCTAAGGGACCCAACAGAGAGTAGGTATCTTCCCCCTCTCACCTGAGGACAGAAACAGATCCAGTTTCTAAAATACCGGATGTTGGGTAATGTCCAAAAACCCAGTAATTCTGAGTATTATACACTGTCAGAACCCTTTAAAATCTTCAGGTAGCTATATATTTTACAGAAATCAGTTAAGTGCCTGGTAGCTATTATACTCATGTTTCTTCGAAAAATACTTAAAAGTAGAGAGGCCATTGAATATCTCATATAGAGTTATACTTCACTGTGCTTTGGTTGTGAAAATGAAACATCATGTGGAATATAACCTTATATAATCAACATAATTACAAAACAATGGTACATGTTTCATATCAGTTGTAAGGTCACAATGAGATTCATATATTTTACAGTTTCATTGTAGGGAAAATGTACTATATTTACTCATTTGTATTTTTAATATAATTTAATTTACCAGGCCCATTAACCAGTTTCTCTAACTTATAAACATTTTATATCTGAAATAAAGTCTTTCTGTAAGTAGTTACATCAACAGTCTTATGTCTATTTATTGTTCTGTGAGGGATAGAAACTTTATAATGTGTCTCCTCAGATTCCATGAGAAACTTAAGCAATCTGATATACTGTTCTGCTACAGTAACGAAGTTTGGGATAAGGTGCATAAAATTAACTAGCCTGTCCAATGAAGTTCTTACACAATTGATCCCCATTGTATTCATAATGCTTTGTTTCCAGTGGTAAGGGCATGACTGGGAATAATAATCTGATTGCAGACTAAAGACACCGCTCTGATAGAGCAAGAGTTTACAGTGGTGGTATACTGATTTGCATTCTCCATCAAGAATGCAAGAGTGTGATTTGGAATTCATTTCTAGAAAAAGAAAAAAAAAGTCCCTCAAGGACTTCTGTGTATGAAAATGTTAATTGTTAATTCTAGTCAGTTTAAGGATTCAGTTGATATAATATGCCTGTAAACAAGGACTAATTAAAGCTTCTTCATAATAAGAACGAGTTTCTATAAATGTTTCATGAAAATTAAACTTCTAGTTTTCTAGTTGTGTTTGTAAAAAAAAAGTAATGCTGTGGCATATTGCTACAAAAATACAGTTCTTTGCTTTTGAATGAGTGATGGTTTCAGTCTGTTTTTACAGTCTTGTGGAGACTGTTTACTAATTCTGTATGAACTATAGACTGAATGAGATGGTAGGAAAATGATCATGAAAGCTCAGTATTGATGGATTTGCATTATAGCACCAGTGACCTCATAGAAAGTGATACCAAGATTGTGCTTGTGGGGACTTAAAAACTACAAAATCTACTTAGAAAGGCTGATTCTTCAGCTGAGATACTATACTGAACCAAATGTTTGGGATATTGAACATCTCTCCAGAATATGTGTTTCACATGATATAAACTGAGATTCTGGTAATAAAACACAAAAATTCTATACTGTTAATAACAGTACTAGGTATTTCCATTTCCCTAAGACCAACCTTAATGTTGGCCGTTTTCCAGAAGTTTCTTAACCAAAATTAAGAATTTACTTCCCCTCCTACCTTAGCTACATGTCCAGCCCATCACAACCTAGATTTCATTACCCTAAATTGCCTGTCTGCTTTATCCCTCTTCATGTCCACATAGTTCCCTTTGCACTTTGTTCTCAGATACTTATAATTTTTTAATTTCACAACCATACAACGGAGTGGAAAAATGTTTTAAGCCTTTAGATTTTAAGGAACTGAAAGGCATTTTTTTATTATCAAAGTATGTATATGTATCCAATAATGCAATGATTTAATAGACATTAGGAATATGTTTGACACTAAAAATGTATTTCAACACTTTTTGATGTTAAAATCATTACATGTCAATATGGCATTAAAAGCACATTTCTACATATTAAAAGTGATTATCCAGTTTTCTAAAATGTCATATATTTGTTCTAATTTTCGACATGTTTCGGCGACATGGGCCATCATCAGGTAATTTCCCTTCTTTTGGAGAGACCACTGCTCTGTATACTTGTTCACTGTGCTTCCATGCATGTTAATATTTAGCACTATATGTGCTTTTAATGTCCTATTGACATGTAATGATTTTAACAACATCAAAAAGTGTTGAAATACATTTTTAGTGTGAAACATATTTTAATGCCTTTTATATTGTTGCATTATTGACGGATAGTTTGATAATAAAGGATGACACCTCAATGCAACAGGATGCTAAAATATAAAATATAATGAAAAGCTTTCA